TAAACACAATTGTGAAGCTTATCAGTATATTTATTTATTCATTTATTTACATCCAACATGCCAATGCCCAATAAAAGGAGTATACAATAATAGAGCAGGTAACTATTTCTAGATAAATGTAAGTATTAGTGAACATTTTTATATTCAGCTAGGAAATAATATATACAAACTATTTCTGAATTGATTCAGGGTAGAAAAAAATTATTCTATAGAGTATTTATTGATAGTTCGGCACATAGAGGTTAACGGGCTGTAGAAATGGTGCTGAGAATTAGGTACATCAATGCGGAATATGTTATTTGATCTGGACGTATATTGAGGTACATTAAAATTAATTTGGGACAGTAGAGTTGGTGAGTCAATGGGACCATTGACCAGTTTATAGATGAGACGTGCAATTTCTCGTCATTTTCTCAATGTTACAGAATTAACTTCAGTCAGAAGGCAAGTGTATTCATAATTTCTAACCGGATAGTTTCCATGTTTCTCATAATACGCAATATATGCTCAAAAAGTTGATGCCTCACGATTCAAACTATATACAGAAATCGTTGTGTTTTGAAGTATGTTTAATTTGAAACTTGAATCAGGACTTTCAGAAAAATCCGCTCAACGCTACAGCATAAAACTCAAATTCAAAATTTCTGTCGTTGGTATCTATTGATATGTCGCTGGAAAATCTCCGAATCAATGGATGGAAATTCGAACTTTCTGTCACACTTTTAATAATTAAATACTTCCACATTGGGGTTGCTAAGCAATTAGCCAATCAAGTGGAATTCCGTACAAAAAAACATCGTTTTTTTTCACAAATTATCTTTTTTTGCTCGTTTCATTTCCAGAAGTTCTTTCTAACTTCCATTGAAAATTATTCACCCAAGCGATAATATGAGAAATCCTTCGACTGACTCGAATGATTCCTTACGAGTACAGTTCGATAACTCCCAAACACCTTGAAGATTAGGCAGAATATTTTGTTGTAACGATGAGCCATCAAAAAAGATAGAAGGTGATTCAAAGTTATCTTCGGTAGTCATATCCACCTTTTCCACTATCAATATTTTGAGAATTGAACGTCTGCAAGTGTTCGAGAAATTTCTGTCATCTTGCCTACGTGGTCTGGCCATTTGGTCATGACGTTTTTGAGATAGTAAAAAAATATATAAGGAAATGGAAAATCGACCCGGACATCCAGTTTTCACTTGACTGTTCGATTCATCAAAATGAAAATAGTCTATCTTTTTTGTGCTATATTGTGTTTTGGTGGGATTAGTATGTTGTAAGTATAAATCATAGTATTATTAAGTTTGTGAAAATTATTTTGAATCATTATTGAATGATCAGAGATCAATGATAATGAAAAAGTTTATATTTCTTATTTCATTACTTTCAATTTATAAATGGATGAATTCTATTTTTGGATTTGATACTAATTCTTCAAATGAGGTACATTTGACCTAAATTATGGGAAAGAAGATTTCAAGCAAATTTTCAAAAATTCCTCAATTTCTTGATTCATAAAACTGGGTATAGATTTTCAGAATGTCCTTGTTATCTCCTGACTGTAGAAAGCTAATTATGTGTATCGCTTCTGTTTTGAAAATGATGAAACAGCAGAGCACATTTTTGTGCCTGCCCCGCTGGGAACGAATCACTCTTTAGAGTTCGGAAGAACCGCACTCTAACCATCCGACCTGGAAGACTACTCACCATACAAACTAATCGGCTTCGTTAAGAAGCTGGATTGATTTGGTCGAGTGTGAATAGGTGTGAGCCACAATGAAACCTTGTGGGTTGCAGTGGAAGGTCGGATAGACCCACTCACTTCAGACCTAACCTAACCTTCAGATGAATGATGAAGGAAACTACAAAACAAATCTTCCAAACAACTCCACTTCACAAGATCAAAAATATCAATTTTTTTTTCAATTCTTCTATACAATGAATAAGAAAAAACTCAATTGAATATTATTTTGCTCTTGCAACAGTCATTCAACAAATCAGTCGGTCAATCTGTTTTATTTCCTGAGGAATGCTATGCACTCCTCGATGTTGAATGCTGATCGATTATTGAATTATCTGCTCCAGATTTTGAATTCACAAAAGCAACTCCACTTCACAAGATCAAAATATTCCATTGATATGAAATTGATGTAAAATATTTTGCACATCATGCTGCTTCAAAACTTTTCTATCCAGTGAATAAGGAGTGAAACTTAATTGAATATTTCTTCTACTTCTGCAACAGTCAGTCAACAAATCAGTCAGTAGATCTGTCTTATTTTCAGAGAAATGATATCAGCTTCTTGTGTTTGAATGGCTTATCGATAGCACTAGTTCAATGAATCAGTCGATACTGCTTATAATAGCTCAGCATAACTAACAGATGTTACTAATAATAGTCATAACTTGAAGCTATGAGCTTGCAGTAGAATATTCAAACCTATTCCTGTTGAAAATAGAAATTACATACTCTCTCCATCATATGATTCAATGTTTTAGGTGCTACCATGAATAAGAATTTGAACCATTCACTGCATTCCCTATTTTTCATCATCATTCAGAAGCATTGTTTTCACATCTTCCCATTTTCCATTCTCAAACTATTTTCATATATGTATGAACTGTTATTATCATTATTTTTTTCTGTTATTGGCTTACTCTCCGGTCACTTAGAGGCCTGCCAGCAGATGATAAGTCCTTTATACCGATCAGAAGAGGCTCCCATCCTGAAAAAGTTCATATTCATAATCCTAACACATATACAGAAAGCTCCTACAACTATTTAGCTGACTACAATAATAATAGTGGTTCATCAAGAAATATGGAAGATAATTCGAAGTCTATTGATAAAAAGCTAGGTAGAAATGTTACCGCAATTTTTGGAAAAGATGTAAAATATTCTTTGGTGCACTTCAATATCACTCTTGAAGAAATTCCACGAAATTTATATGTCGCTCTGGAGAATGAATCATCTAAAGGTTCAATTATAAACAAAAAAACTCATAAAAAAACACTAGGTTTATCAAATTACACGAAGATTTCTCATAAATCTCCAGATGATACCGAGGAAGAAAAAGAAGAGTATGGGAAGAAATCATCAAGCCGGATTACATACGAATATCCAATAATTTCATTATTGCAGTTCAATATCACTCTGAAGAAAAAGCCAAGAAATCCATTAACTGTCGTTGAAACTAATTCGAGTGAGGTTTCACAAAAAATTGAAGAAATTAATTCGAAAAATTATATTCACAAATCTCCAGGAAATTCTTATGAGCACCTATCAAACAATACAACCCCGAAACAAACTGAATACTATGAGAGGGAAATGTCACCCCAGATTGTTCGAGAATATCCAGAAACATCATTATTTCTCTTCAATATCACTCTTAGAGAAATTCCAAGAAAATTGGCAACAACTGTTGTCAATAAATCATCCGTAGCTTCATTCGTATATAGTAGAACTCAAAAAAGGGAAATAGGTTTATCAAATATGACAGAGGATGTTTACAGATCCCCAGAATATTCTGCCTTGGACAACAGTACAGAAATAGAAGACTTCGAGGATATCCAGGTTTTCCACAAGATTCCAAAATTATCATCTGCCTACGACATCACTCTTGAAGAACTACTAAAAAAACCTGTAGCAAACGTTAAAAATAAGTCGTCTCATGGTTCTTCCATATACGATAGTATCCAGGGCTCAACAAATGTGATGAATACACCTCAATTACCAGAATATTCCCACAATTATAATTTGGAAAGCGGCAATACCATGGGGGAGATGAAAAACTATGAGAATAATCAACCATTGGCTAGCAATTTGATGTCTAATGAAACCAATGGAGGAAATTTGCATGTTTGGAATTTAATACCTTCCAATATCAACTATTTGGAGGATGCATACGATTATACATTTGACAATAAGGCCACTATGGAAAAAAATATTCAGTCATCTAATTATTCACAATTTTCTAATGAAGCGGATGTGGCAAAGATATATGCTTGGGATTCAATACCAGAAAATGACCAACTTCTAGCAGGTACACTTAACAACAACATTATCTTAGACGAAGTAAAGAACAATATGACGGTAGTTGAAGAAAATGAACCAAATACCGTTGAAGATTATTCGTCCTCCGTCATTGAGGCACCTTTGGAGTCCAAGTTTCTTCCACAGCTGTCGTCGGATGAAAAGATGTTCAATTTGACGGTGGAACCTGATGATTTTGAAGCTCTCGTGGGAGTTCCAGATGGAAGTTTTTTGAACTCTTCTGGAACTGAGAGAAATTGTACAGACTGCACAGAGGCAATAGAGGCGACAACTGGAATGAAATGTAAGTTTTCCTAAACTCAAATAATTTTTTTTTACAAACAGTTCAAGACAAATTTATCACTTTGTAGTGATTCTACAACTCCAATTCAAAATTAGCAATATCGTAAAAAAAAAGCTCTCGACCGTACTAATTCAACTTCGCAGAATGAGTTGTTGTTGAAGAAAAAATGATACTTATTGTGAAGGACTCGACATTTTCTTCAAATCAAAATGATTCCAAGAATTTCATAAACATAAGAGTTATTGAAAAAACAATACACGTTGCTCACTCTTTAAACATTTCTACAAATTGAAATGATTTTGTATCCCAAAAAATGTTAATATTTTTTAAATTGAAAGTAATTCCTAATAGGAAACGTGTCTTTTCAGAATCGGCTCACATGAATAGAAAACTAGTTTATCGAATAGAAAATTACGAGTGAAAATTCAAATCAAGGTCATACACATATTCTCAAAATGTAAAATGATGTTATTGAAATAGTTTTGTAATACCAATTCACCTTTCAGTTCTAACAAATATATGAAAATACTGTCATTAGTCAATGGAAGATTCTGTCACAATAATTTGACTTGAGTGAGTGAATTCTATAAAGTTTTCAATTTATAATTGAACCAATTCTATTTCTAGTGCATTCATTAGGTTAGATCAAGGTAGATCAATTTTCATTTCATATTTTCATCATAAATCTGAAATAACTGTAAAATCGAAAAATGAGTTCCAAAATAATTGGAAAACTAAAACAGAAACAATATATTTTGATTGGTCTTTCCAAAATACCGTCTCACATTCCAAAACTAGCTCTGTATCAATTTTCTGTGGGTGACAGTTTTTTTGTGCGATCCCAATCATCCTGTTAAATATATTTTTCCATGTTGACGTAAGAAATTATCAACTGGCAGACCGTCAGGTACCTAGATAGTTACCTAATTCATTTGTATGCTTGATTGATAGGACCTTGTGAAATCTACATTAATATCAACTTAAGGTTTGATCGTCACATCCATAGATTGAAAATAACTCATTGTCCACTTATATCTACCAATGGTACTAGTTGAATCTGGAAAATCATCTTAGTATATGTCCACCATGTCAGTTATTTCTGTCTATATTTCATCATTACGCTATATTAATATCTTTTTACAGTAATTGCATGTATGTGTGCCATCTTCACAATTGAATTTCCCTCTGAAAGTGACATTCCTCTCACGTCAAAAACATTCCACAACATATCCTGTCACCAGGATGTTCTCAACGAACATGCCTGTAAGGACGTTTGCATCGATATTGCCACCGTCAATGATGAACTGAATGACAGCATGGTTTGCTCCTTCGTAGAATCCTACAAAACTGACCTGAAGGTGAGAATCAAGTTGAAAGTAATATTAATAATTCTATCGAGGTAGATGCATGACAGTTTTCTCTTGATATAAACAAAGAGAGATCAAGGAAAGTAGTTGCATGAAGGCCATAATGTGAATTCTGCATACATCCATTTTCAAAATTCAGCGTTTTTGACATAACCATTTTTTAGATCCGAAAGATTTTGCAGTAGAAATTTTAGCTTTGAAAAATTTTGAATATCAATTCCTTCATATCTCAAAGAAACTAATTTATACAAGCATTTCATTTTAGTCATTTTGTTTCTTCAAAACATTTAATAATAGTAATAATAACAGGTCCCTATCTGTAATAATGAAAAATAAACAATGAAAAGATATAACGAAACAAAATATGATGAATGAGCGAGATTTGGGTATTATAGCTGCTTTTGAACACGAAAAAATTGTTTTACAGCAGAAAACTATTTTCATGCATTGATGATGCTGTACGTTTCATAAAAATATCTAGTGTCGTACAAAAACCACCATTGATATTTTTTCCTAGAACTGTTCTCTAAAAGTGAAGACCTTCCCTAACATATGTTAATTCTTTGAAATATACCCAAAAATGACTTTATGCTATAGGAATAACGTGCTTCGCGAAAGTATCGATTGTAATTGATAAAATTCCCAAAGCTTTCGCCAATTTTTATATTGACGCATTCGCCAAATTTTCGAATGGGCGCCTTCGGCAAAATTTTTGTAGTGGCGCCTTCGCAAATTTTTCGTATGAACGCCTTGGCTATTTTGTATATTTCCGCCTTCGACAAATAGCAGAGTGGCGTCAAAAAAGGCTTTTATTTTCTACGGCAATAATGCCAAAGTTTCCGTTCATTACAAATGGTAATGCTTGATACAGTATCAAGTTTGGGTGTATACCTGTCATACCTTCATACCTGTATACCTTGTCATACCTGTATACCTTCATCATTCTGAAGGCTCGATAATAAGAGCACAAACAAATTGTAATTTCAGAAAGGAGTTTATCAGTGAAATATCGTTATCAGCAATAATACATAACATTATATATTCAAAAGCTGAGGGTTGTCGTTCGTAGGGGTGCGACAGCTGGAAAAACAGATTTAAACAGCTTTTAAACACAATTGTGAACTATGAACTTGCTACACTATATCACCACGAGAACTAATGCAATCTGCACTCATCAAAATAGCATCTTACATTTTTCCGTTATACCTGATTTTTTTCCAAAAGCACGCTCTGTCTGTAAATTTTCCTGAATATTGACAATAGGTTGAGCGATTACTGTCTTTATGACAGTTTTATTTGTATTTTGGATCAGTTTTGTCGACGGAAGTCAAAAATGATGAAAATTTTAAAACATTATCTTTGTGACACATATTGTAAACTCGTATTCCTCATAGTCCAGTAGTTAGCTTGTCTTTGAACCTAGCACCATATCATTGACATATCACTCTTTGACTAGTCCACTTATTGATTCAATTGCATTTCCACTCAATGAATGTCTTTCTTCAATTTTGATAAATTCTAATGAGGAAGTAGAAATTGAAGAATGGTTTCTGACGAAACTTGTTAAATATATTTCCATATTGTTCCAAAGTTAACGTTTATAAATTGTGTTCTTGATGAAACTAACACTTTTATGTTCAGAGGTTAGTTTTTATTGATGAGAATAACGATCGGTTCAGTCAACAAAAGATAACTGAAAATGTTAGAATGGAAATCGAAACTTAATGATTATATAACTCATTTCTGTATTTTTATAACTAATGATTGTATCTAACATTTGTGTGGATTTTTTTTAATTGCTCTTTACTTTTCAGGCGTTTTTGTACTCAAAGTTGTGTGAAGACGCTGAATGGAACTTCACTGGCATTTCATCAGCGGAATCTGTTTGTTGCTACAGGGGTTTCAAAATACCTTGTTGATCCAATTATTTCCCAAGAAAAAATAAGATTTTCTGCATTCACTTACTTTTGCTATTAACTAAGTTTATTGAGTATTTTTTTTTCTGTAGTTTGTAGGATTTGATATTTTCATTGTTCGTTTCGAGTAGTTTATAGGTTAGCAAAATAAAAAATATGTTTCGACATATTCACAGAGTTTTATTTATCTCACGGAGATGATGGTGGATATTATGGAACGTTATCTGACTTTTTTGAAACACCAAAATGTTCAATAATCGAAATCAATTCAATTTTTTCCAATATAAATTTTATCACTCATTCAGTATTAGGCAAATGCATTTTACATTTACATATATCATACATTTACACAAAATTGTGAACATTGTCTATTTATTATAATGAAAAATGATATGAAGTCAAAAATAACTTTTTCAAAAAGAAATAAATTGGTCTGACGCATTTATTTTTTCCGAAACACAATAAACGCCTTTTCACTATCTCATCGACTATATGCATTGAATGAAATGATCTTGACATAGTCAAAAAAAATACTGATGGTTAAGTGAACCCACAGACAGTTTATTTATTTATTTATTCATTTATCCGGTATGAACGGGAAAACCCTAAGTTATGAAATATACATGTTGTGAAATATACATGTACAAAAATATACTTCAATTCAAAAACAGGTACAAAATACGTACGAATATTGAAATACATATATAAAATGAAAAGCAACCTAAAACCTAAATGCTAAATGGAACAATTATAACTAACATCAGCACTGAAAACTAACAAACATTCAAGGCATATATTTATCGACTGAATATATAATTTACTGCAGACTTCGAATACCTCCAAGGAGTAAATGAAAGAATCAATTTCTGATGCATTAGCTTTCCACAATATCCTTGATATTGCATTATCAAATAAATAACTGGTAGAATGTGAGTTCTCAACGGAAACAGAAGTATCATCTCTTGTTACTCTTTGCCTGCCTTTCAGGCCAACCAAAGACAGAAGTGCTGGGAAATTGTTTCGTCTAGACAATAATTTCAATAGAAATATTTACTCAGCCTAAATCCGCCTGTTTTCCAATGTGGATTGATGTAGTGTGGAAAAAATATCGGTGTAGTTATGTAGCTTATGTAGACTGAGAAAGAGGGACTCCACACTATGGATACTCTAAATGTGACACAATTGATGAACAATACAGAAAATTCAATGTGCTTGCCCATAAGTCTTTAGCGATCCTAACGTGTTAGGAATCACACGTTAAAAGGTAAGACCTCGTTAATCATTAGCTCGCACAAGTTTCGATTTCTGAGTCGTTCATGGGGGTGCGACAGCTGGTTAACGGAAAAACAGATTTTTTTAGACAGACTCAAACCTATATATATATGCAAGAAGCTCAAGTTTCATCGGATTTTTTGAAGATCCGCCACTGGAATCAAATCCAACTGATTTGAAAAATAACCAAAATGAATCGCTATGAGATTATAAACTATTTGTTATATTCATTAATAGATGTATCGTTTTATGTTGCTGTATGAGTATATAGTTAGTAACCATAATATTTACATCATGTAGATAATAGTTGTTTACAATTCATTTCAAAACAAATTGATCCAAAGAAATGCACGTTAAACGTTCAAGCTGGTCTCGAATATACCTACACAGTAGGTTGAATGGACTGACGTCTATCAGAAAACAGCTGCACCCCTGGCTAATACCACGAAGGGCATATGCAATTAGCAATACAACTGAAAGAGCCGACCTTCAATTTTGAAACTGGCATAAGTGTACAGAAAAGTTAGAGATGACATATTTGGTAGTAAATGTATATGTATATGTTAATGTATATGTATATGTATATGTATGTGTATTATTATATGACGATGATGATGTTGTTAAATGATTTTAAATTTGATTTGGGTTTTGAAAAATCTAAAAATTTCAAATTTTCAGTATTATTATTATTTTTGATGAAAATTTTAATCGGCTAGACTCTTATGTTGAGTTTAAATCCTATACCACAGTGTATAGAGATTTTTCTCAACCTCTCAGGTGGATTCAGGCACAAACACAACAATTACTTAACCA